ACTTGAGTCGCCTTCAAGTACTTGATGTAACCATCTTTTTTAGATCCCGGCACAGTAGTATTTCTCATAATATTAATAATCCTACTTCCACATTTTATTTGCAAAAATATATATTACTTACTTAATTGCACCCGTTGCCCACAATGGAGCATAGGCCATCGACCAACATTGTCCAACCCACTCTGTCCTGGGTCTTCTTTCCTAGTTCTATCTAATTGTTGTTCATTCTTCTCATGTCTGTCTCCATTTCTCGGCATAATATGTTCTTTGATCTTCCTCTTCTCCTTTAGCCTTGAGGATTCTAAGTGAGGGCTTTTCTTATGACACAGTTGGGTGCTTTCATCAATGTGTGTTTTATCTACTTCCAGAGCTTACTACTCCTCTGGAATCTGGCTTGTTCTCACCGACAGTAGGTAGTTACTGATAATGTCTGGCCAACGGATTCGAAATATTTTGCGTAGACAACTGTTAATAAACACTTGTATCTTTTGGATGATGGCTTTCGTATTTCTCCAAGTTTCCGCCCCATACAATAGAACTGTCTTGACATTTGTATTGAAAATTCTGACTTGGGTGTTGGTTGACAGTTGTTTTGAGTTCCATATGTTCTTCAATTGTAGATATGTTGCTCTTGCTTTGCCGATCCGCGCCTTCACATCTGCTTCAGATCCACCGTGCTCATCAATGATGCTACCCAGATATTTAAAGTCTTTTACATCTTCCAAATCTTCTCCGTCAATTGTGATTTGATTGGTCCATGCTGTGTTGTATCGGAGAATCGTGGTTTTCCCTTTACGTTTGTTGAGACCTACTGCTGCTACACTGGTCGTTTTCTCCTGCATTTGTTGTTGCGATAGAAGAGCCATATGATCTGTGAAGTATAGATCGTCCAGCTGAATCCTAGCTGTCTACTCTATCCCATCTCCCTCCAGCTGTTGAGGTCTTCATGATCCAGTCGATCACCAGGAGAAAGAGAAAGGGTGAGAGTAAGCAACCTTGACTGAAACCGGTCTTTACTCTGGATGAGTCTGTGTGCTGTCCTCCAAGCACGACTTTGCACTGTATTCCGTCGTATGAATTCCGCATGATGTTGACGATTTTCTCAGGTACACCATAGTGTCGAATAAGATCCTATAATGTTCTCCTATCCACACTGCCAAATGCTTTCTCATAATCAAGCGAGTTGATGTAAAGTAACGAGTTCCATTCAACTGAATGTTCAACGATGATCCATATTGTCGCAATTTAGTCTGTGCACGACCGATTTTTAAGGAATCCGGCCTGTTCATCTCGAAGTTGGGCGTCTACTGTTATAACATGTGACCTGTGTGCCCTGTTTATTGTATAACGTAACGGTACCGCCAATTAGGGAGCAGTGCCTTATCGATCGCACCACTGACGCGTAAAACCGTATAAGCAGTCTAGATTCCTTATTGCTCCTGCTCCCTGCTTAGCCCAGTCAGTTAAGTCCAGAACATCAATCCGAGCCTCTGCGATATGAATCATGTAATTCAAACATACTCGGTTTATATACCAATCAGACAGACCACATCGTACCAATAAAATATGAAACAACATTTGTACAAGAATCAGCCAGATGTGGCTGTGAATGAGGGAGGTAATAATGGTAAAACGTATAATAATAGTTTATATATCAAAATAAAGCTTATAATAAGAGGAATATGAATATGTATAGTTTAGTTACTTGATATTTATACAATAGAAATATACGTTTCGTATTGGTTCATAAATGGATCCCGAAAGTTACCACTCATTATTCTTGTCGGGACTTTTCATCTACTGAGTTTCCCATCTGGTTCAGCAACACTGTTGAAAACATTTCCTGGTACTGACAGTAGTGTGATACCTCTGATGTTTTCAAATATGCTCAGATCTCCTTTCTTTGATATCTTGATGAGGTGTCCTTCCTGAATCGAAAGTGGTGCATATTTGCAATTACTTCTGTGTCTCAATTCAGTGCTTCAGCTGATATATTGTCATATCCTGCTGCTTTTCCACTGTTGATTTGTTTTATGGCCGTGGTGATCTCTTCAATTGTTGGTGGCTCAACACCGGTCGGCAGTTCCGTGGGTAGCTGCTTCAATGTCGGATGGATTCATGAGGGCTGGTGGATCCAAAAGTTCCTTAAATTGCTCTGCCCACCTGTTTCGTTGTTCTTCAGTGTTGGTGAATACTTTGCTTTCCTTGCTTTTCATTATTCCTTCTTTTTACGATGATTTTCTGCGAGTTTCTTAGTTGTATCATACATTTGTCTCGTTTTTCCTCTTCCGCATATTTACGTTTTTCTGTTCTGATGCTCTTCTTCATTTACTTGTTTGCTACCTTGTATTCAGCTTGTGCCTTTTCTTTATGTGCTCTTGTTCGGCTGATATTGATTGTTCCCTGCTCCTTTCTTTAATCTTATCTAGTTTATCAAATGTGACCCATGCCTTCTGATGGTGCTTCTTGTGACCCAGAACCTCATGATATGTTGAAGCGATTGTCTCCTTGATCTCCTTTCAGTTGTTCTCCATAGTCGTTCCTTCTACATTGAGTAGATCGTGAAAGGCCTGGGACCTATTGCTGAGGGTTTTCTTGAATTCGTTGAGTCTGTCAGTATCCCAAAGAAAGGCCGTATTAAAATTTTATGATGTTATCCGCCCTGTTATCCAGTGCTTCTTGAGTTTCAATTTCATCTTGGCGACCAGCAAGTGGTGATCTAAGGCTATATCAGCCCCTGTCTTAGTCTTACATCCTCCATCGTCCTTCTGAACTTTTTATTGATGGAGATATGGTCGATTTGGTTTTGTGTAGTGTGATCCGGTGCAGTCCATGTGCGTTTTTGTACGTTACTGAGTTATTTTTAGGCCTTGAAATTGATATTGTTCATTATCACAAAATTAGTTTAACAGTATAGAATCAAATAATTTAACCACTCCATATGTGTACTGTAGTGTTTATAATTTGATTGAAATTTCGTTTTTATGTCATTCACCTCTTCTTGTCTAGTCGGGTTTATGAATTATAAATACAATTTAGACTTCAGGATGTTTTGTAGTCTACATTCAGCTAAAAGTACCATTAGCATGACAAAGTATACCTTATCTGATAACTTGTGTTTTTAGATTTTTTACTGTATGGGAATTATGTTTTTTTATATAATATATGTATCCTTATTCTTCTGTCTGTGATATAAAATATTAGTACATGAACACACCTTAACGTTTTATGTCATATAAGATAATAGAAATATTATCTAATACCATAAGAATCTTCATGTGATTAAATATGAAATGAAAAACCATTGTTTCACGCATGATTTACTCATTTGATAACGAAAAATGGAAATTAGACAAAAGTGGACTGAGTGAATATGCATATTTTTATCAGGTGTTTAAGCATTATAAGAATATGTCGTTACCCTGGTGAATTTGAAATTCTTATCACTTGATCTCACTGTACAGTTTAAAGCAAACTCATCTGTTTTTAATTGCGTTAGAACTGTTTATCAAAACTCAAAAGCATATGATAGACGTGAATGTTTGGTTTTGTGCAGTTCTATCTTAATAGATAACAAATGCGTTATAGATTTTACGATTTTTACTTTCATCAGTTAATATTCATCAAAAGAGATATTGATCATCAATGAGTACATTATTTCTCTTTTGTATCATCTAAAAATTATTATACACCTCAAGTTCATATCTGCTTCTCTAGCTTTAAATTTATTAAGAGTATTCAATTAATTATTCCTTGGAAACTTACTTATTTTCACGAAAAACTGGTGTGGAGTAATATTGGTTTATTATTATTAATGTCAACAGAGTTATACACAACAGTTCAGATTACTGTACAATCTTATTCAGTGTTATGAATATCGAAGTTGGCTTGTAATCCGAACACTAAGACATTTTGATTAGATTGAATTAGTCATAGGGTCTTCTCTGAAAACATTTTAATCATACCAGTGCATCTCTAAAATATCCATTTGTTTTCAATCTATCTATCAGTGTGCACTTATTTAATCGTTTCATTTGTTCAGCGTACACGAAAGAAACATATTAGTCGTTATCGTCCCGAGGAAAAGAATCACATGAACTACATAAATGATAGTTATTTTCGATAAATTTTGGGACATACATGTTTCTTCATGTCTATGTAGCCAAATGACTTTATTTTCTCTTAACAAATGAAAATCCTAGTTAGTTTCTACATGTACTAATGAATTGTATACCAATATGTTTATTGGTTCTTTGCGTACCTATATATATAATTGACATAAAAGTGTCGTTTAAGTGGTGTATTATTTCAACGTTAAAATATTAGTTTGTCGTGTTTTTGTTAAGTCACTTGATTTTTTCCAGCAACTTTTCGATTTCAGTGGATATAATGACTGTACTGATAAGAAGTAGGACAATTTGTTTTCACTTTTTTTTACATAAGTCTCAACATTATTATCTCCTTCCTGAATCAATCATTAATTCGAAGGCAACTTGCCCAATCAATAATTTTTCATGATCCCGATTTCGTTGTGATTTATTATATATATATATATATATATATATATATATATATATATATATTGCCGCCTGTCCACTCATTCGTTTTCCTTTTATTTATCAAGTAAATAACTACCCTTCACACACTTCATCATCTCACTAACGATTACATAACCTTTGTTTCATACTTGGAATCTTCTGGCCATTTTTTGTGATGCTTTACTTATCTTTACACTAACATGTATCACGTAATAATAAATACGTTTGTTCCAAGCTTCGATGACATCGTGTTCACTGCTTTTTTTGTTTACGTTTTATATCATTCCGATAATAAATATATGATTTCAACTTTGCGTTCAGTGAATATATTGTACCATTTTATTTTACTAGTCTGTTTTTTACAATTTCAATTTTAAACTCTTCGTCACACAGAGATGGACACCTCGTAAGTTTATTTTCTTTTTTTTTCATACGCATTTTCATCTGTTTTATTTATGTCAGGTTATGGATATCAATATGGCTTATGATGGATTAGATGATATTGGTTTCGCCTATTCAACTGGTGATACTTTCTCTGATGATCATTTGAATACTGCTGAAAATTTATCCGGTAACGTGACTAAGGATACTGTCCAACAGTCATTACCTCATGTATCCAGTGGGAGTGTTAGCTCTTATCAATCTGCATCTCCAACAGAAAGGGTGGGTTTTGTAAACAATGTAAAGGCATTTGGTTTTTTAAAAAGTATTTCTGTCATGCCAACAGTAAAATTAAAACTTTCAATAACCAACATTTCATCTTAATCATCCAACGGATTAATAATAATAATTTATATATTCTGAAAATAATAATTACAGAATTCACGCCAGTTTACAGGCATGTTTAATTTCATATAAATAATAACATTAGATGTACAGAACAAACATGTGATAGAAGAAAGTTTTAGGTATACTAATTCACTGATTGTTTAGATAGTACATGTATTAAAGCGATCCAATGCATCAGCCGGGAACTTTTAATATTTCTTAAATGGACAGCCCGTTGATTTATGAACGGTGTAATTAAAGGTCATTTCGTGTGCCAGATCGAATTAATGATAATTTTCTACAACTAGAGAAATTAAAATGAAAACAGAGAGCACGGAACAACGAAGCAGTACATACCAAAATATGTCAATCAGGTCTACCAAAATGCGTGTGTCATGTGACACAGTGATATAACGTTGATGTTAGATGTTATTCAAATTAGTTAAAGTTACTTGGGACGGTGTTAACATAAAGTGACAGCAAGTAGGTGGTTTTACTTAGGGAATGTACTAATAAAAGTGGCTAAACATTTAAAGTTCCTATAATATCACTTGTGAAATTAGATACACTTACAGGTGCTAGAATATTCAATGCATTTTCAGAGGAGCAGTATGCATCGACGCAGCGAACAAATAATGGGAGTGATTTTATCGTAGGATAGATTGTGGTAGGTTATTCCAGAGTCTAGAAAATTTACATGTGAAGTAATTCATATAAAGAGATGATTTAGAATGAGTTTGTTTCACTAGTGCCAAGGAATTACGGATGTCATAATGAGAGGTTTCTGCATACTGAATCGCGTGATCGGATGTAAATGATAGTTTATGAAGTAGTTTGAAGAAAAAGATAAGATTTAGTTTGAGTCTCCTCCTCCATAAAGGGTCTAGCCCAAGTTTATTACATCTAGAATTATAAGTTAAGGTACAATCAGCTCCAAGAATACGAAGTGTAAATCGTCTCTGTACTGATTCCAGCCTTAATTTATCCTTTATGAGCGCACTGCTAAGAATAAACGTGCAGTATTCCAGAAGAGGTCGAGCACAAACTTTGTACATTAGAATACGTGACTCAGTGTTTTGAAGATTTCGAGTTATGTAACCTATTAGACGTTGAGACTTAGAGGTCTGTTTTAATATATGTTCTGTAAACGACAGGTCTTGGGAATATCTAAGTCCTAAGTCTACTACTGTATGTAGCCTAGGTAACACTTCTCCATTTATGGTAATGTCTAGGTTGAGTAATGTATTGCCGAAACATATCCATCCACATTCAGCCGTATTAAGCTCCAGTTGCCATTTTAAGCACCACTGTGCTACCTTGTTAAGCTCCATGCTGATGCAATTCTGCATATTTTTCAGGTCATGTGGAGAAAATGAATATACTACTTTAAGATCATCTGGATATAGAAGGGACTTACCGACACAAAAACTTTCACAAATGTCATTGATAAACACTAAAAAGAGCAAAGGGCCTAAGACACTACCTTGTATTACACCACTTCTAACAGGGACAGCGTTAGACAATGAAGACTTAATTTTAACTATTTGATGTCGATTGCTGAGAAAGGAATCACGCCAAGCTAGCAAAGGATTTTAAACCCTATAAGATGCGAGCTTACCTATAAGAAGTTGATGGCTAACCATGTCAAAGGCTTTAGAAATGTCCAGATATAGCACTAAGACTAGATATCCTTGGCTACTTAGAGAATAGACTAAATTAAATAAGTCAGAATGACACGTCATGCAAGAAAGATTTTTAAGAAATCCATGTTCAGTATCATTGATAAATTTTTCAGCAAGTAAATAGTTGGAAAGTTCATCACTTATAATTTTTTCCATAATCCTAGAAACAACTGGAGTAATATTTATTGGCCGGTAATTGTTCATGCCAGTCTTATCTCCAGATTTGTAACGAGGTATGATGTACGCGGTTTTCCAACAGTAAGAGTAAGAACCGGTTTCCATAGAGAGAGTAAACAGCTTTAGAAGAAGAAGTTGAATATCTGGACCACCATATTTGTAGAGAAATGATGAAATCCCGTCTACCCCATGACCTTTCGAAAGCTTAAGGGTATTTATAGCCTTATTAATTTTCATGCATGTGAAGGAGATAAATTTTATTGAGTTGCTAGTCACGCACATAACTCTTGAAGCATAGCCACTTATGTTTTCTACACTATTCGCGAATATACTACTGAAAAGGTCGGCCATGGTTTTAGAGTCGTATATAAAAGTGCTATTATGCTGGATGCATGGTATATCAACATTTTGAGTTGCATTAGCGCGTTTATTGAAAAGGAGAGTTAATTTTATGTACTTTTGAGTTAGTATTAAGTGCTAGTATATCCTCATTAATGGCTTTTAAACTATGTTTCTCTTTAATTTAATTAAAAATTATTGTTATTTGTGCAACTGCCGTGAAGTCGTTTGACTTAAAATAACGACTCTGTAGGCGTCTTAGCTTATTACGATATTTAGCTGGTATATATAATTCGTAAGTTTTACTAAACCTGTACGTTTTAAGAGGTACACAGGAATCTAAACAAGAGTTAACGATCAGATAGAATTCGTCGATAGCATCCATGAGACTGTTACATGAAAAAAAGTTATCCCATTCTGAATGTTTAATCAGTGAATCCAAGAGGTCCCAGTCAGCATGCTTATAGTCTCTTTATTGACAGGTTTTTTGAATGGGTCGATTATAAGAGGCATAGATAAGGAGAGCGCAGACTACTGTCTTATGGTCACTGCTTTCAAATTCATGGTATACTTTTACAGATAGTGGGATGACATCTCTACTAAATATTAGATCAACTATACTATCGCCTCTGGTTGGGGTACGTACCCATTCTATGTAGTAGATTATCGAAAAAAAGTTCTGTATAAGAATATCATTTGCAAGGATTAAAATTTTTATTTATAAATGCACTTTGTGTCACCAAACCATTTTTGACTTATTCGTTACTTCATTATGGAAGGAAGAAATTGAACATTTTGTTAAGTTTTAACGTTTTTTATTGCGGATACATAGTTACATAATTAATGATTGTCAGTTGTGTTGAATTCCCTCATGTATCATACCATATCACTTTCATCTCCTGAAGAGTACTTATTAAAAATGGGATTTGTGTTAGATAATTGTGAAAAATGGGGGGGGGTTTATGTCAGATACTATATTTATCACAAGCAAATTGAGACAAAATTACATTTCGTTATATAATTCACTGAGTCACAGTCAACCTTCGTTCTGACACTAGTGTTTGTCGCCCTAATTTTCTGTAACGTACATCTACGCAATGAGAAAGGAAACTGACTAAGTGAATATAAATATGAGGGGGAAAATAATACCAACTGAGGTAGGAAGCCTATACATGAGAATTAGAGTTCACACGTAACAAATGAAACCGAATAATGACAAAAATGCAACGAAGTTAAACTGAATATTTTTAGAGGAAGATAGCAAACTATCTCAGCTGTAAATAAAAATAATATATTTGTAATATCTCAGTGAGTAGAAACATTAAATTTTCTGACCAAATAAAAATAATTAAATAATACAAAGGAACCTTTGTATATAAATATATTATAGTTATGGATAATAATCTACCCAATGCTCAATTCATTCAAAACTATTAAGTCAAACCTTGGTAGTGATACCCATCTCAGCTGGTTCCACCATAATTGATTTTGACGCGTGTTACCCAGTCTTTAACAATAACATACGAAGTTTAAGCCAGATATTCGTCTGAATTCAATGTACACACTTTGGTTATTCTGAGATCATCTCTCTTTCCATTCACCCAAAGTTTTTCGAATTCCCAGACTGTTGCAAACTGCGATTTGTATTAAACGAAGAACTTCGGTTTTAAGACCCTAACTTTGTGTCAACTAAACAACATTTTTAAACCAAACACTCTGTAATGGATAACTATTTTATAGTTTTCAATTTTCTACTGTTTAAAATTGTTCTTCAATCTTCTCTTGATAAAAACTTTGTATACTTTGTTTTCAACCTTTTATTTCTTTATTTTCTGTGCAAATTGATTACCGTGCTTTACAGTGGTTTGAATTGATTGTGAAAAATATTTACGACTTAAAATGTCCCACAACTTTTACAGTATCTTCTTGCATACATTCATTGCGTGACTAAACTGACCTATTTAATTTTTCTTGAAGCGTTATTTTTTTCATTTCGCTAATTTGTCTAAACGTTTAGTGATGTGTATATAGAGTTGTGACAATATATTCTTATTACGGAGTTCTATTCGTAACCGAATTTCCCGTATTTTATACTAGATCTACTAACTTTCCTTCTGATTATTTGATCTTCATTTATTTCAAATTTCGCACCGTCAAAAATATCTGATGTAATTTTTCTGATGAAAAGATCAATAAATATGTAGCTAATCCAAACTTTTTTTTCCTTTTGAAATCTGATAAGTTATTCATGAACTGTTAAAAGCTCACTTAGTAGAAGTTCTGTTGTATTCCATTAGATAGATTTTATTTCGTTTCCCATCAGCACATTTGTGATTATTTGAAGTAATCATGTTTCTTGTTTTCCACAGATGAATGGAAAAGGAATGTACTCATTTTGTGACATTCAATTCACTTAAAAACTGTTTGCACATGTTCGTATTTTTTTTTAAATTGGGAGATGCGCACCATTTAGATGTATGAAAACATGTGATCGAGAATTCAGTTGATAAACTGGTTGCAAGAATGATTTTTGGTGGGAATTTTATTTCTAGTCTAAATGGACATAGCAGTTGCTCACTGGGTTCCATGTGAGTACTGATCAAACAGAGTGATTTCCAGGTTATCCCGCGTGGTGCGGGATCGTGGGTGCGCACTGCCGAGGAGTCCCATATCAGGACGAAACGGCCGTCCAGTGCTTCCAGGTTTTCAATGGTGGTCTAGCTTCAACTGACTCATGATTTCAACCTGTGAATTTTCAAAAACTCTCCACAAAACCCATTCTGATAAAAAAAAAATGAATAAGCTGTGAACGAAACAAATTTTTTTCTGGATGATTATCAAAAATTATTATCAGTATTCTTTTTGTGGTTTTTATTGTTTGTTTAGCGGTTATATATTCTTGACATCTGTGACTAGTGTTTATCAATACCTATTGTCTCATATCTTTATGCGTATGCTTTCATGCAGGCATTTAACAAGACATATTTAGGGACAATAATGACAATACGTAGATTGCTTTTATTTTTATATATCTATCCTAAGAAATACGCTGATCGAAATTTCATGTTTTCTGTATATTTATATCACAATAAATTATGTCCTACGTTCTGTTGGTCTAAATGTTATCGCTTTCGTTCTATTGTCTTACTGTAACTAGCGTAATTTTTCTTTATCAAGTATTTGTTATTTCAACTTCTGCATAAGTAGTCCACAAGTTTAATAACTAATATAACCAGTTTTTATTCAAGTTTTCAGTTCAACTCATCGGTTATATAGAAAAAAATGAAAGATATTACTAGCATTCTGACTAGATTTACTCATTCCTGTCAGTCGAAATTCAATGGAGAAGATAACTGATTATTCAACAACTAAGCCGTTTATGTTTACTTTTTAACAACCTGATATTTCTCATATCTCAACGCTTAACATTGACTTGTAAGCGCTTCGTACTTCCACAAACATCTCTGAAACTTAAGCTGAGCTCCGAACAAAGAAACAAAATACTTTTAGTATGTAAAGAAGCTTTACTCTGGAATTTACTTCAGCACATTAATAGGTTTAGATATGAAACTGGTATTTTGGGAGCCTTTGGGAACATGCTACAGTTAGTAATAAAGTCGGTATTTATCCACTCAGGATATAACACAATCCGTCGTTTTTTTTCATGGGAAGCTCATTTCGATTGATTGGACAAGTATTTTCAGCGTGTTCTCAACTTCTGAAGAGTTTTCTGAGGAACTCTTAAGCCCTACTAACACGAACTCTTAGAAAAGATCAAGTTGTTGACTAGAGTTTGTCATAATTAAACTCTGAACAGCAACATTTAGGACATTCGTCGATTGTTAACTCGATGACCTATAAAATCAGCTGATGTGTTATACAAGTCACATTATATTATTTACATAGCTTCCATTCTTTTTATCTTCATGCATATTTATTGATTTTATTTGTCCTTTTCCTTTCCGTTATATTTACATGAAATTCTTCATTTAATATTCTTTTAGAAAACTAAGATTATCTAGTTTTTTTAATTTTTATTTCTTTAAACGATCTCTTCGGTCACATTTTACTAACTCATATTTCTGCAATGACATTTAGTGTTATCGGATTTATTGGCCATTATGATTTTCAATTTGACCATTTTATTTTCTTAATTTGGCTTGATGTTGCTATATAAACTGGGTTGCTTCACTTTAATTTTTAACTTATGTTCGGAACAAAACTATTCTTAAAGTCTTGCTTTCTCAACCATATATTTGCGTGTAGAGTATCAACGTGGAATTGTTGTTGTGTATCATTTAAAGCAGAGCCCGCAAACGTGAACTACTGAACGATTGTAATATTTTCCTTAGGGTCAAATTATTGCTTTCTTAATGTAAGATTAAATAACATTTCTTTATTGTGAAACTAGTGATCTCCACAAAGTTTATTCTTTTATCATGTGTAGTATTAAAAGAGTATTCGTCATTCTTTCTTCATTGAATAGGATTTACGCGTATTCGTTCCAGTACGTCAAGGTAGCCATCATTGGCCTCCTGGCTACCAACCACTTCTTGTTTGTCGTGTAGGCATACTTGGACTAAGCTTTGAGTCAAATATAAAGTCAAGTACCGATCCTACAGCTTCCTGTCTCATCCCTCCGCCATCTATTACAGCTATTAGTATGAGTTCAGCTTTTAGTTTGTAAGTTTCAAACTTCCTAATTATAGTTCTTTGTTTACTTTTTAACTAGATCGTCGAACACAAATTATTTCTAGGTGAAAAATGTCCATTTTTTCGATCATTCTACCATCTGTTTGTGAGAAAATCTCTACTTCTCATCCTGTTTCAATTGTTTAGACGAAATTACCTTTCGTAGCTCTAATGGTACAACCTAATCACGGTACCTGTTCATTAACTGCGTCCTGAATTTACGCAAAAAAGAAGTCTAGTTTAAATCTGCTGAACCGTATAAATCTGATCATCTAGGCTGACTGAGTTATTTGTTTCAAATTTTTAGTCAAGTTTCTTGAGAGTACACACCAGTTTCATTCTGTTAATCAAACTGTTCATGATTATCTTGTGAAACGTTGGGTCATTATCTTTCCTCTAGCCTCTAATGTGTTTAAACCTTTGAAATCCAGCTCACAATCCTTCACTGAGAAAATAATATTCGTTCATGTTTAGAAAAGTTTATCCTCATTTAATTTATCATGTGCCTCATCAAATGTTTATGGTACTGTAACTCGTCGGGATAGAATATAAGCCTCTCAAATCACACCTGACAGACTGCTTATGTTCATAATAACAGTTCATTTAGGCTTATTATAAATATCAAGCTATTGTGGCACATTTTAAATGCTCATCTTATTTTTTTTTACATCATTCTTCAGTCATCATGTACAAAAGGTTATTTCAATTTACTTACAATCGTTTTAGTTATCATTCTAACAGCGGAATTATTACTTGTTTTTAGAATGGCTATCGGAAGCGAATTCGGCATTGCTGTTGTGGATTATGTTCACAAGATTTGCTTGCTGTCTATTTCATCTTCTGACTTATTAAGTGAGTTTTTTAAATTTTTAACTATATTATCCATTATTTTCTAAATATCTGTTTTTTATTATTGGAGAATTGTCGAAATTATTGTTTAATTTACAGCTTGTTCTCATGAAGTAACATCATTTGATATCAAAAGGCAACTGGATAGCTGTTTAGTCCATAGTCTTGGACTCCTTGGATTCATACTTTTATCGATGATTAGTAATAATGAAATCGGGCGAAGGTAGTTAGGTTATGAACGTGTATTGTTTATTTGTAAAGAATCGGTTTTAGTACTCCATCATTATACTTTTGGACAATGTAACAACACGCATTACAATCTAATTCATCAATATCTCAATTTTATTACATTATTTATGATACCCCATTTCGTCTACTTAATACTAACTACTTCTTAATCTCATCGATACATTTGACCGGGTTAATTACAGTCAAATCTTGTTGTTAGACGATGAATATTGATGCTACAATACTTTCTTCTCCAACCATTTCCATTTATCTCTTTTGGTGGATTTTTGAAGTCAAACTAGTAATTATCACTAGCATGAACAAAATGAATAAAAAATTGCTGTCCCCACTTTTGTCAGTGTTTGTTTCTAGAGGGAGTTCCCTTTTTTAAATTGTCTGAATTCGCTTTTCGTCTTATCTGATTTTTGTTTTTTCAAATAGTATTCTTTATAATAAACGTGCATTATTACTGACTACTCTTGAACAAGTAGTACACATATTTAACTGACCTTTTTGTCTAAGCAGTTAGACGTTATTAGTTAATTCTACGTAGTCTATGCCTGAGATGACAACCTTTTTATGTCTCTGTGGTAGCAATTATTTTTTTGCAGTTTGATAGCGGAATATTGTACCTATACATTTACTTATTGATTTCATTTTTTATTAAACTTATGTTATTAGTGGCTCTGCGATGGATTCAGTCTTTTTATTCTTCAATCTTAACGATTTCATTAAAACTCCATTATTCTGAACATATGTTCATCAAATAAGAACACAACCACTGTTTTATAGTCTCATTCTCTTCAATCACTCTCAATAGTACTAGATTACTAACTCTTTCTTTCTAAATTATTTATTCATTATTTATTTATTTGAACACATATTGGTATAAGGGGGCACCAAATATATATGCGCCACACAAAACAATGAGAATGGGAAAAGACAGCAAAGGAAGGTAAGAAGCGTAAAAGAGGAAAAAGAACAATAACGACCAGATTAGTGTAGGGTAGTGTAAAATAATAACTGATCTCATTGACGCGTTGTAGTTCCAACCTTTTACAGCCAGACTGATATCACGAAGGCGCCGAAGATGGCCCAAATTGGCATAAGCCGCTCTGGCCTTCACTATCCGTAAATTGGTCTCATCACTCACGCCACCACCAACACTTATGCAGCTACCCGGATACACAGTATAGGATTAGAATCCTGCCAGTCTTGTAGAAGTACTTTGCACTTCGAAGGTGCAAAGCACATGCCATACTTACAGACACTGATTACCAACTGGTTAATTGCATGCCTTGGGCATTATCGCACAGTAAGACCATATCATCCGCATACTCAAAGTCAAGAAGACTTTCTACAGGCAACAGATCCACACCACCATTACTTACATCCATCAGAGCTGTTTCCAGAATGTCGTCGATGGCAAAGTTGAAGAGGAATGGTGAGATTGGGCAACCCTGCCTAACCCCACTACTCGAATGGAACAATGGAGAGAGGTGGTTGTATGCCCTTACTCTGTTTGAGGTGTTAGTATATAAGGCTTCGAAGATGTTAATAAACTTCTCAAGCACACTCTTCTTCAACAGACACTCCCAGAGAACAGTCTTGTCCAACAAATCGAAGGCAGCCCTGAAGTCAAGAAACACTACGATTGTTGGCCCTTGATAAATATGACAGTGTTCTAACATTTGGTGAAGGGTGAACATATGATCAATACATCCTCGACCAGAACGAAAACCAGCCTGCTCCTCGCGAGTCAATCATTCTCGGGTTTTGAACAACCTATGAAGTATAACGGAAGCCAATAGCTTGGACGCAATCGCAAGTAGACTTATTCCTCGATAGTTGTTACAGGAACTACGTGAACCCTTTTTAAAGATAGGGACAACTATCGACTCATTCCTTGACGTTGGTACACTCTCAAGTTCCCAAACCTTTGTGAACAACGTCGTCAATTCCTTAGTCAGAAAGTCACCACCATATTTAAAAAGGCCAGAGGTAAGTCATCTTGGCCCCGTGACTTGTAGCGTTTCAATAGTTGGAGTTTCTTGCGGACTTCCTCCTCATTTGGTAGATCAGTAGTCACCGGCCATGGAGGACAGGACAGTTTGACCGATGTTGCCAGAGCAGCAGGCCAGTTGAACTGCCCTTCGAAAAATTCTGCCCATCGTCCAAGACGTCGTTGGATGTTAGTAATTGGCATCCCATCATCCTCGCGGATTGTTTCGCTCACACCAGACTTGTACACAACCATGCCAGCGGTAGCTGATCGCGATGTGATCAATCTGAGTCCAGGCTTGGGATGCGGAGGGAGGACGCCAGGTGGCACATCGACGATAACTGTGCCGATAGTTATTGCTAGCCAGAAACAGGTTATGGTCTGTGCTCAGTTGCGGTAGACCGTTCCCATTATCTGACCTGCGACCAAGAAGTCCCCATCGGCTACCTAAATGACTCCCTTCTGTGCCTAGACGTCCGACCTGAGCATTCAAGTCTCCGGCTAGTACTACAATATCTGTCGAACGCACTTTCCGGAGAACAGTTAACTGGCGGTTGAATTCATTCGTGATTACATCCAGGCTGCAATCTGTCGGGGCATAGGCGAAGATGAGCAAAAGACATTGTTTCTCACGCCGATTTCTTCTCACTTTGATGGAACTTTCTAATCTAACAGCACATAACCGACTGTTAATGGGGATTCAGTCAATTAGTGCTGCCTCAGCTCTGGCGCTTAGTCCGACACCAACTCCAGCAAGACCAGACGAAGATGCCACAGGGTCCCTGGATAAACGCACGTAAAACAAGCTTTTTGGGTGACAGATGGAGATCGAATTTGTAGTGCTTCACCAGAGTCTTGAATACTGGTCTCGGATAGACAGCAAACGTCAATATTAAGACTTTCTAAAGACATAACCAGCCCTATCTGTTGTCCGAGCTGCATAAGTGTGCGAACGTTGAAGGCAGCCAGTTTGAATGGTGCGCGTGGTTTCATAAAAGCTTCTTCAGTACTCATATTCAGTGGTAGCATACAATTTTCAACCAGGCAGTGACTCGAGAACGTTTAGATAGAACCAAGTTTCCACCATAGGCGAGCTGCTGTATAAGTCGAAAAGTAAGGATACTTAAAGTGGGAATAAAAGAGTGAATAAATGACGTAAATAAAAATAATAATGTGAATTGTTTGACTGTTAGAATTTTCAGTAAATATCGTCATTTTTTTATTTCATTTATGTGTGGGCTGTGATACTACCCGGGTGCCCAGACCGAAGCAGGTGGTTTTCTTAGGGGGCCCCTCTCCGAGCCTTTGACCTAATGGTCTTACCCTCAAGGCAGTGGAGCATCGTGAGGAGATGCAGTCCCATAGCAGCCGGTGACCAACGATTGGTTCATACGCCATTTGTTCCCTCAGGATACTGGAGCCCATGTGCACCATTGGTTTTGGATCCGGTTAAAGCGCTGGACATTCGCTTTTCGTCCTCTCATTTTTGTAAACAACACCTTTGCCACTAAAAGACAGTGTGTAGGACTTCCCTGGCAGAGGCTGTATACGCGTGGCCGTGTGAGAGCATTTCGAGAGGGGCGGAGGGCCCACCCCACTCTTGGCCATATCAGGGCATTTGCGGGCTTATTTCTAGATAAATGAAGTTAACCTTTAAATAAGATAATATTACTCAGGGAAATGCTTTTGACTGGATAATCTTCTATAAAACTTCTTTGTTCATCATTTTTTTTTGGGGGGGGGGTCGATTAGTTTGACACTGTTCATTCGACACATATTTAAACCGAAGTATCGTTTCGTCTCAACGGTTGTTGCTACCTTAACGTGATGATTGAGCTTGCCTGTCGTGATGAGCCTTTCCAGCTATACTGGCTGAAACAATTGTATACTGCGCGACAGTTCGTTCTGTTCTACTTTACGGCTGTGAAACATGGCTATTAAGAGTTAAAGATACTCGTAAGCTACTAGCATTTGACGACAGATGCCTTAGAAACATTGCTGGCTTCTGCTGGGATCACCGGGTAAATAATAGTGAGGTTAGACACAGGGTATTAGGGAATGATGGCAAATTAGTTGATGACGTTGTAAATCTTCATCGACTGAGATGGTTGGGCCATGTGTTGCGTATGCCTGAACACCGTTTACCACGACGAGCAGTGTTGTAGACGTATGGAAGAATTTTAGGGGCGACCGAACCAAAACGTATCATCAGTGCTTGAAGTCACTAACTTCTGGTCTGAACCATGTTGGTAGATGCAGACTACTTAGTCAGGGTCCGCGTGACTATTGTAACCAATGGTTAGAGACTCTTTGTGATATGGCTCAGAATTGATCACAATAGCGTGGGTGTATACACTCTATATCTTCCCTCGAACCGTGAGATTAAAATTACTCAATATCTTTCATTCTACAAACTAATTCTTTCTTCCTGTACTATGTTCTTATATGCAATCTTTCTATTATATATAACCACCACTGAATCAACTACTTCTATGAATTTGGTGTTCATCTTGTTGTGCTAATGAGGTATGGCGACTTGGACCGATGCATATATGTGTCTGGTCCGATGTGGTAGCTGACTGACTGAATATATCATTGATTGTACTTTGTGAATTTTTTTGTTTGATTTTTTGTTAACAACGCGTCTATGTTATTAATTTTTTAAAACCACGCGCTACTTCATATATTAAGACCTCGTGTGACCTCCTCCAGCTCATCAAATAATCATTGTTTTATTTAATTGAGATTCAGTTAGGTAATTAAATCATTTCGTCAATAATTGTAGTTATATATTTCTGCTTATTATCAAAAGAAATGAAAAGTTTTGTCAATATTATCAACTAAACAGTTTACATGATTTTTATCAGTTCTACTAATACTATAAGTATTTATTTTCGCTTATTAACTAACTCCATCAGGTCGTGGTCCTATCAATCTAACTGGGTCGTCTGCTTCGGGTGAAGTGAAATTCTCTGATCAGGTAGTTAATTATATCTTCGTTAGTTGAACTCCCATTACCATATGATTTTTGTGTTTAACCATTTCTGAAAAAACGTTTATATGTAATGAAACGATGAATACCAAAGCGATCATTTTAGATTTAAGCGAAACTTTTTCTGTACCTGTCTATACAGATGTATTATTTTCGTTTTCATTTCAAACAGGCTTTTTTTCTATAAAATTTAGCTCTAATAAAACGGTGATCGAAAATGTTAACTTCCTTTTGTTCATGCTAGTCTCATATAGAGGTTCAATTATAAATCAACCCGATTCATTTATATCAGGTTAATTAGTTTAAATATTCGCATATATACGACAAAGTTAAACAAGAATGGAGAGAGTGGGCAGCCCTGACGAACACCACTTGAGGTAATCAATTCTGATGACAGTTCGCCATAAGCGCTCACTCTAGCAGTTGTGTTCGAGTCGAGAGCCTTTATAAGGTTAATGTACTTCTTTGGTACTCCTTTCAGTGACAAACACTGCCATAGAACCTCACGATCAATAGAGTCGAATGCCGCCTTAAGGTCGAGAAATACTGCCATTGTGGGGCGTCTGAATGTGTGTCTGTGTTCTAGAACCTGACGTAGTGTGAATATCTGATCTATACAACCACGTCCAGGTCGAAAACCTGCCTGGTTTTCTCTAATCTGCTCTTCACGAGCTTTGATTAGGCGTCGAAGTATTATTGAGGCTAATATTTTAGATACTATATTAGTCAAACTGATTCCCCTGTGATTGTCACAAGAGGACTTTTGTCCTTTCTTATAAATTGGCACAACCAGTGATTGAGACCAGTCAGATGGGATTACGTCCAGTTCCCAAATTCTACCTAAGACCTCGGTTAATCTCATTGCTAATACTGGACCACCATCCTTAAAAATCCCAGGAGTAAACCTGTCAGGGCCTGCTGCTCTCCCTCGTTTCAGATTTCCTATGGCTTTTTCAACTTCGCAAAGAGTTGGAGGACTTACATTAACTTGCTATTCAGGTTGACTGGAGATCGTTGGAAACCGAAGTGTGGCTGAAGGCCAATTGAACTGATCCCTAAAGTGTTCTGCCCATCAATCTAATCTCCTGGACTGAGAATGTATAATATGTCCATCTTTCTCTGAGATTGTTTCGCTAACAGTCGGGTTCCTAATACCGGTTTCCTTAACGAGTCTGAACAATTGTCTGCTATTACCTATTGCCGCTGCCTTTTCCATCTCTCTTGCTTTCGCTACCCACCACTGTTCACGATCATTGCGTAGACTTCTTGTCAGCTTGTGCTTAAGCTGACTCTGCTCTTCATTATGTTCAGACTCAGGTGGAATGAGTTTCCGAGCATCTATCAGTGCGATAGATGCTGCTGAGAACCAGTGTTGCTCCCTAACCTTACGGGTTACCTTACTGGCAGATATCAATGCTGTTTTCACAGCTTTTCGGATATCATTCCATGCTGCCTCGGGGTGGGCATCACCTACATGGTTGCCTAACTGTTTTCCTAGTTGTTCCTGAAATATATTCCTAGCTTGACTATCATTAAGTAGGCCTCTAAGAGGTTTCCTTGCAGCGTCTTTCCTACGTCCAGTCAGACGCAGACAGATACGCGCTCGTACTAGAGCACGACCTGAATCTAAGCATGTGCTCCAGAATGAGCGACAGTCTTCTATCGAGCTCCTCCATCGGTGGCTGATAGCGATGTGATCTATTTGGGTCCAACGTTGGGACGAATTAGGGGGTCGCCATGTTAAAATATGTTTTTCCTTATGCTTAAAGTTAGTATTTGCAAGAAAGAGGCGGTTATCTGAGCATATCTGCAACAGACCGTCGCCATCATCTGTTCTTTGAGCCACGACACCATAAGATACACCTAGGTGTCTTTCCCTATCGCTTAGTTTACCTACTTGAGCATTAAAGTCACCGGCCCCTATTACTACATCAGAGTGCCTAGCTTTTCGGAGAAGGTCCGAAAGCTTTCTGTAAAACTCATCTTTTACATCATCTGAGCTGCAGTCAATGGGAGAATAGGCAGAGACGACGAAGAGGCAACGACGAGTGTCCCTATCTTTCCGGATCCTTACTGTTCCGTTCAGTCGGACAGCGCACAAACGACTGTCTGCTAGGATCGACTCTAAGAGAGCTAGTTCGAATCGTTTGCCCTAGCGGTGCGAGGTGATAAAGGGACGTGAGAAGGGTTAGTCATGGAGATAAGAAATTTATTTGGAAGTGTAGGAAGGATTTGAATGTGACCAACTTGGCTTCGTGAGTTGTTACGGGTATGAGGGCTGATATCACTTCCCGGCTGCCCACACCGTGGAAGGGTATTTCTTGAGGAACCTGAAAAGGAAATTGGATTAGTGTTGGTCTTGACGACCTGGGAGCGTGACCGTAGAGCCCAAGGGACAAATGCTTGAGGCCGGTCGCGCACGGCCTTTTCGTGGAAAGTTTTTAATGTGTTAGCTCCGTTCTCCAAAGGGCCTTACCGCCAAAGACGGAAATCCGTGAGGTAAGGTGAGGTGTAACATCTTTAGGGTCGACCTTTTCTAACCCCACCCCTCCTTGTGGGAAGGCAGCATCGCTGCAGATGCTGGTTGTCCAAGGGAAACACCTTAGTGCTGTCACACCCCTCTACAGTCAGCAGTACGACTTCACCCTCAAACCTTGAGTGTCGGTAGTTGATTTGAAATAATTATCAATAAGTTGCTAAAAAGGCTGACATTTCCTCAAACTACAAACGTTTGCTTACAACTCTGTCAGTTGCCAATATCCACTGTACTATAACGTTAATTTAGTTTGTGTTCGAATGAGACAACCATACAGAAGATCAGAGATAAATTAAGACCCGTAGTTCGTTTGAAATTTTGCTAATTCATGTGTCATTTTACTGCTATAATGAAATTACTCTACTAAAGGCTCCATTAATATAAATTTATACATTACAAGCATTTCTATCCGTCATTCTTTTTAATAAAAAATGTTGACACTATTCATTCTCGAGGAAACACTTTAGAACTTTAAAGTTAATATGTGACTATTCGTAGAGGATGATCCTTGTATCCGAATGTTTCTGAACTCATTGACTGACATTCTTTACTTTTTAAAGTTGTATCATAACCACTTATTTTAAATTGAATATTACAATAAAAAGTTAACACGATTTACTGTGATGATCCTTGATGCGTCTGTGGAACATCCTATCAGAAAAATCAAATAATTAATTCATGTGGCGTTGAGGATGTATCATTCTGGCTCAGAATTTCTATACTCACATTTTTTGTCTACTGAAGTTTTACCTTACAACATGTCGGTGATATAGGCAGATCAAAATAGTCATTAAAGGCTCCTTCCTTTTTTATTTTTACTGTGTTTGGTGTTATGAACTTTAAGTGACTAATATTTCAACGAAAAAATTTCATGTCACTCACTTTATTTTGTTTAGCCTACTCAATTAAAGAGATTAACATTAATAACATATCTTTTCAATGAATTTAGTTCCTTGCTTTATAAATGAGTCAGTTATATTCATTGATTTCAATCTTATATTATATGTTTACGTAGGTGTATCTGAGTGTGTGTTTATTGTTTACGTGTTTACCATGTTCCCTCCTAATTTTATTTTACTACTTTTATATAAAATGTTTATCTGTAGTTGTTAATTGAGTGCTGTCTATCTTGAATACATATGTTGTCATGTATTTGTTTTCTTATGTTATTGTCGTGTATGTCGTTAAATTTCTAGTATTCTTTCAATGTTGTTATTGCTCAATCATCTCGTAGAGCTTCTATTCAGGACCAATCATATTCTCTGGAAATATATCTTCTTCGATACTTGATCAGTCTTTTAGCAACAATCCTATGGAAGATTCAGTGTCATATCTAGTTTCAGGGGCATTCACCTCAAGTAATCATCGTAATGATTTCACTGATACTCACAAGAAACGCCAATCAAGAATAGATATTTTCCAAAGTACCCAAAAATGTTTGTTATCAAAAGCAAATAGTTCTATTGATAAACGTCATCGAATAATTACAAAGTATTATTATACAGATGTTAAAGTTAATAATTCACTACTAAAAGTCAGAATTAATGAACTTAAAGTTGATAATAATGATAACCTGAACGGATCATATAAATTTAGGAAGATTTCTCGTCAACATTGACTCGCACGTCATCACCATCGTGATAATATTATTTGTTGCCTGAGGTTAAGAACTTCAGTCAGCTGAAAACTACTAATCCCTTAGTAGCTGTTTGTGAGTGAGTTTTTAATATATTGCTTGAATTTATGTATACTATATCTCATATTAGAACTGTTGTTTATATTTTACTCCTTTTTTGTGGTAATATTAGATTTTCTATGTGTAAGTGTTTCAGTATTCTCGCTGGTACTCTACGTACAATGTCCTCATTTGCATAGGTTTAGTAAACATGGCTGATCTCTATGTATTCATTTGATGTACATTAGTAACTGCTATTACCACTGGTTAATTACTAAGACTTGCACTTTTCCCATAATATGTGTTAATGGTTAACTTATATTCCTTTTCTCGCATACATAATAATATATTATGAATTAGAATAATAGTTCAGCTGGCTCAACTTCGTTGGCTAATACATGCATTATAAACAATCAGACAGCTTTGAAAAACGTCCACTCAAATTCAGATGCTGCACAATCGAGTGAGTCATCTAGTACCGGTTATACAACACGCTATGTATTATCAAGAACTACAACTGTCAAAAGTGAATTGAAACGTGCCAAGTCCCAAGGTCAGTTGGCTGATTAGTAAATATGTATTATGACAAATAACGTATTATCTGTTGTTTTATTATTTACCTCTCTAAATGCCTTATTGTCCCTGTGCTGTCTTAAGTCACTCTCATTTAACCTTGATCGTTTCATCAATCGTAACGATTATATATGAAGGTTACATTATTTTCAGTAACAATTCGAAAGACAGTGGTAACGATAATATGTACCTTTGTTGTTAAATTGATAATAAAATGTTAAACGTTGATTCACAGCCGAAGACCTGATTAATTAATACGAATTACATATATAACATGTGTACAATCTTTAATAAGTTACGTTTTTTCATTAGTGATGCCTAACTTACTCGAATTCGCACTGTTATTCAGTACAATATACACTCATATGAAATATAAGTACAATTTCCCAGACGAATTCATCGCTTAAACTTGACCTTTTTGTTCGGTTGACTATACAAAATTCAGTACCGAAAGATCGAAGTGTATTGGTGTATAATTATTTGATTTGGTTTTCTTCTCATATTCCTTATCTTTTGTTGATTAGTCTCTGGATTAAAATGTGTGTAGTAACTTAGTTCACTCCATTGTGCTGCGTTCAGTTTAATCAGTAGTTTGTTTTAATATACATATCAAAAACCTAAACATGACTTCTCTTCGACAGATTTGCCTGTTCATTCCCCTCCTAGTTTGTAATTTTACCAATCCTTTGAAATATCCTCAAATAGATTCTCTGTTTATTAAGTATGCATTGGAGTAAATATTGTGTCACAAGTAGAGAGAAAATGCATGATAAATTTATTTTACAGTCATACTGTTATCATTTCCCGTACAAAGACTATTTCTAACAGAGGAACCTTTTACATGTAGTATAATTGTAAGCAACCTAACTGAATTATTTGTTGTATATACATCCATTTATAATAGTGGTTTTGGCCTGTCGAACAAATCAATCATCTCGTCAACAAGGACAAACGTCTAATGCACAAAACACTTCTTCAGGTTGTTTGATTTTACCGTATTCTTTGTGTTGGTTTATGTGTGTCTGCTAGTGTGTATGTTGTTGTTAAATTACCAGCATTCTCGTGATATATAAGATTTAAAGTTTCTCCAGTCGATTCGTAAATCTTATATTGAGATTTTTGGTGGGGAACTTCTTAGCGTACTCAATGAATGACCTAATAATTCAAATGAATCTTTTTAACCACATTTTTATGTGAATATGTATATCAGTTCTTTTATCACCACTTTATTTGCTGTTTACACGTGCTGAAATTTTAAATCCATTAAGGTTGGATAAACAGATATTTAAAAACTTTCCACTTCATAATTTCTTTCGGTATTTTAAAATGCATGATCAGCTTTATCAAGGTTACAATATAATTGTGCTAATTTATTCGTGAATGGGCAAAAATTTGTTATTTTCATTGAAGTATACAGTAATATTGTTTGGACTGGTTTATAATATTATTCGTTCTCTCTTTTTGAGTAGCCGAAGTTATTTTTTGGATTAAGTACAAAGGGTTTTTCTCGAGTTGATGAGCTGAAATTTTAACTAATAAAAGTTACGGTTAGATTAACACTGCACTGTAATTCTTCATTAAGCTGTACTCGACTACATAGGATTAGATATCATTCGATTTCACTGATATTGGTGCTTTATTTAGACTGTCTTCATGATTAAAATAAATCTACTGTGCAAATCTTATTAATAACATTTTAAATACTAGTTATTTTATGTAGAACGAGATATAAGTATTTATTTTTAAAGTCACCTGGATAAAATTTTCATGTTCGTTCACTGCTATGCCTTAAAGATTTCTCGTGCGTTTTGGTGTTCTATTCAGGAAACTCTTCAGTCATATTACGTCAACCAGGTATTATTTAAATCGATGAATAATTAGAAATCTGGAAAGAAAATGTAGATGTTTTTAAGTTCATTTTCAGATGTATACTTATCATAAAAAACTAACTGCTTTATGAAATAATAACACTCATTAACTGTATTGTTATCGTTCCTGGTGATCTTAGCAACGGGGATGGGATACTGTCATCATTTCTTTTATTACGATCCAGCTGCTCTTATTGCTTAATATTCTTGGGCACTACTTCACTCGGAAGGTCTCCAAACCAGAACACTGTTGAACAGGAACGTAATTATATTCCAAATAAAAAGGTTGAATGGAATTAGGAATCACAATAAGAGAAACGTTAGTATACTTATTGTCCTTACATAGGAAGATTCTAGAGCCTTCTCCAAATGTCCACTAGCAGTGACCGGATAAGAATCAGTGTACCCCAACAAAATCCTTTACGGAATGTGCTTTAATCCAGTCTACATCCAGCTAACATCTAACCTATGAAGCATAATGTTTATCGTATACAAATAACTTGAGGAATATTCCAAATCTGAAGGTTCATATTCTCTGGTTAACAGTTAGTCTATGGTAGAAAACTTTAGATATTCCTGATAAACTATACCAGTAATAAAGTCCTATCTCTTACTTCTTTGAGTTTCTGTTCTAATCCAGCGAGTAAAATAACTGTACTCCTATTTCTCTTTTTTGTATTTGGATGTTTTTTTCTGATCAACCATTTTAACAAGTGTTATCTTTTCAGCAGTTACTCATATTGTGTCATTTAACATCTTGTTCGTGTCCAATTTTTTTACACATTATATAATGCATTTACTATTTTCAACTATCTAATATTTTACACAAAATTTTTTATTCATATAGTAATATTAGCTTATTTTTAATCACTTTTAGTAACCGTAGACATTTCATTTCCATAAACAGGTGTGTTGTATGTAAAAGCAGTTATATTTATTCCGTATATGTACATATACACATGACTAACTTTTATTATCGAACATTTTTCTGGCTTCGTAGGCATGTGTATTGTTCATTTTTTAGATTAATGGATTGATAGTTCATTGTTCGTCCTGCTGAAAGTTATTCTTATGGTCATCTTTCCACTAATTTTAAAAATTATTTTCCCACTTTCGACGTGATATACGTCCATACTACTTATATTCCATATGAGCGTCTGAAGTAATGTATATTCATATTTGTATCATTGTTTTTTCTGCTAACTGGTGTGTTTGCAAGAATATGCTTCGTTTTTTTGTGATATTCCTTAATGCTGTTATCATGTTTGTGTTAATAAGGTGCATGTTATATATCAATATCTGAACGAACTGGAAATCTTACATCTTTTTTTCTTAATTCCTTTCTCGTTTGTTTTCATGTGCGTAAAAATCACAGAAAAGTGCTCCGATCTTTCACAGTTTTCACATCCGGGAAGTTTAACCGCAAGTTCTAGCTCACTAGATAATCTAAACTGTGAGACGATTAAAACAATTTTATTCAGTGAATGGATATCCCCTAAACAAGGTACGTTTTATTCATAAAGTTTGTGTGAAAAGAATAGTAGTTTTTTGTAATATCTCACCTTTCCTCATATATTGTTCTGTATCCTATATATAGACTTACATTTTGTCCCAAATCTCTGGATCGGGACATCTCGTGGATGTGTCCTTGCTTTGAATCTAAAGTATCGAGTATTGAATAATGTCCCAATCAATCACTCATATTGTATTGGTAATTCCTGTTCCTTTTTCTATTAATAGTACATTTTATGCATTGATATGTGTTTACGTTTGTGATTTGGATAAATAACGCTACATTATATTTTAATTTTTCATTATTCATATTAATGTATTCGTTGTTAGTGCTAATTAACTTTGACTTGAGCTCCAAAAATGATACCTTCTTATATATGTAGAAAAAGAGCTCTTCCTTCATATCTTGCAAGTACACTTTTTGAATGAATACCGATAAAAGAGAAACGTAGATCAGTCAGCTAGTAATCGATTCCAGCCAAAAATGTCATGAGTCAACATGGTTTATTGAACACGTTACGAGCCCCATCAATGATTTCGAGTGAACATCAAAAAATGAACAATATAATAAATAATGTAATACTATTGGACGACTAGGAATCTGCATAATTAGTTAGGGGAGTCATTAAATCTAACAGCATATCAGTTCTTATCGCAAACATCGAGATAGGTGATGAGAAAGAGAAATCTGCATGTTGTTAAACTAGGTGAGAGGAAGCAAAAGTGATTAGTAAGCATATTTGATGTAGAGAAATTCACAGCGATATTTCAGTGACCCACTGTGCTGATAAAGCCTTATCTAGTTAGCACGATTATACTTTCTGTTGTTTGGAGACGTTATTCTTTTACATGCAAAATAATATTTCGCAGGAATTAGGTTGTAAAAGAAGCCTTGGACAGATGATTTTGTCTGTGTTTTAGTTCAGTAACAACTAACCTCATCTACTCATTTTAATTGATAATCCCTGATATCAGTCCTCTGAACACTAGATAAATGATCTATGTGAATTTCCTTCTTAGGTTTCAAGGGATTTAATTATAGCTAACTGATATTTGATGTTTTGTTATGAAAATACTGATTAATCTCTATGATGTAATGTGAAAACGAAGTGTTATGATGCTGTTAATCGTAGAATAGCTATCCTTAGTCGTTAAAGTACTATAATAATGATATAACATATTCTAAAAATAATAATTACAGAATTCATGACAGTTTATACAGGGGTGATCAGTTTGATTTAGATACTAATATTAAGTGTAGAGAATACATGGAAAATTAGATTGTTGCAAGTTTTCTCGTTCAAAAATTGTTTAGATAGTACATTTTTCAAACGTATTACAACAATGAAAGGCATCAGCTGAAAACTGTTAATTCTTTGAATGTGAATATCCTGTTGATGTATTTAAGGTCATTCTTTGCGCCATAACAAATTGATTATAACCATCTATAACTAGAAAAATTAAAATGGAAACAGAGAGCACTGAACAACGAAAGCAGTAATTACTACGATAGGTCAGTTAGGTCTACCATAATACATGTGCCAGGTTACTTTATGATATACTGTTCGTGTTAGATATTTTTCAAATTAGTTAGCTACACTTACGTTGTAAGTGCAAAGTAACAACAGATAGGTAGGTTTACTTAGTATATTCAGTAATAAAAACAACTAAACATTTAAAGGTCCTATAATCTCACTTCTGGGATAAGATACAATAACAAGTGTAAGGTCGTTTATAACATTTTCAGAGAAGTAAGCATCGATGTAGCAAAGGATAGGAGTGTCTATAGAAAAGAAGAATTGAATTTTCTACTTTTGAGCCATTATGAAATGCTAACAACTCTTCATTAATATTTTTCTTTGATTTGGTTAAAAAATATACTTATTTGTGCAACTGACGTGAAATCGTTTGACTTAAAAACATTTCTGTAGGTGTCAATTTGTTACAATATTTAGCTGGTATAAATAATTCGTTAGGTTTACTAAACCTGTACGTTTCAAGTGGTGTGCAGGAATATAAACAAGAGATAGTGATCAGATAGAATGTGTCAATGGCATCTACAAGACTATTGCTTAAGTAGAAGTTATCCCAGTTTGATAATCTTGCCGGGGAGTGCAGAAGGTCCCAGTCACTATGCCTATAGTCTCTATATGAATGGGTTTTCCGTATGGGTTTGTTATAAAAAAGACAAATAGGGAGAGCACCAACTACTATGTTATTGTCACTACTTTCAAATTGATTGTATACTTGTGTAGACAGTAGGATGATATCTCTACAAAATATCAGATCAAGTATATTACCATTCATTGTTGAGATACAAACCCACTGTGACCAGCAGTGTATGTTAATTGACGCTGAGAATTCACCATTACATGACTGACAACTACCGGTATTCCAGCTTATTCCATGGTAATTAAAACATCCTATAATAAACTTTGTATTGAAATTTAAAGTAGATGTATGTATCAATGCATTAATAATGAGATCATTCACATTATCCGAGCTACTTTCTTGCTCTGTCCACTTGTGTGAAAAAGGTTACTCTGTTCACGTCACCAGATAAAGTAGAAAAGTATGGTGAGTGAATAAACGACAAGGAATATTGGACATTTATCTGACCTAACTAATTACCTAAATGCTGAACTGTTTTATTGATTTTCTTTCAAATAACTATGTACCAGCTTAAATGGCATGTGCATCTCTTATATGTCTGCATGTCATATTGGTATGCATGTTTGTATATCTATCCTATATCTCTGTATGCAAGTTGATTACTTTTTAAATAACTGTCAATTTTACTTGATTAGTAGAATCTATCTTGCATTTATGCTCAATGTTAATATTGATTTTCGTCTTCAATCTGCACACACAAAAGCAATGTTATGTATACACATATATTATTGAGCTTGAAATCTTTCTGAATTGAAATATAGAAAGTTCATTTGTATTGGCAAGCTAGCAAAACTAGCTATCTAACTTATTCGTTTTATTAAGACATCGGTCTTTTTTCTCATGATGAAATAATTTTATTATAGAATACCCAAGTATATATTGACTACTCTTGTTTAATCACTAAATTTGTATTGTATTTTGGAATGTCTCGCTACTTTCTGTTTATCCGAAACTAATAAGAGAGTATTAAATACTTAATATTTAAATTACTTACTGTGTTTTCAGTTGCTTGTCCATTCATCCAATGCTTGAATTTTAATTAATCCATAAGCTTGTAACAGTATTTTATTGAGACATCGGGCAGATTAACTAAACTGTAGTCCAATCTAGCAACTCTTAAATAAACTTTGTTATATTTTATTTAACACTTGAATTCATGAACTGATTCAAGCTAGACCACCATGGAAAACCTGTAGTCATTGGACGGTCGTTTCGTCCTAGTATGGGACTCAGCTGTGCAGATCCACGAATATATAGTATAAATATTTTCATCTGGATATTTTGGTATTTTTTACTGTCCATAAAATACAAATGTTTAACATGAATATTTGTAACCAACTTCTGTATATGATAATTAATAATAAAGTGACACCACGGTTTTCGATGGGAAATACGTAATCTTAATCCGATCCAAAAACCAGTCAGCAATATTTGTCATGATTTCTGAACGATTCTTCCCTTCTTTCAGCTAAAACCAGAGGACTGAATTTATCGATTAAATTTATCTTGTTAAAGAATTATTTCAGTAGCTCGATAGACTAATTTTGTCAAAATGTGAATCAAATATACCTCTATCTTACATTCTGTCAAACAAGTCTTAGTTAGGTTTCTATTTTTCATTTAGAAAACATAAACGTTCATGTGTCTGAAATTCGTAGTTCTCACTGACACATCAACTAGATAAACATTTTACAGACTGGAAAATATGATTATCAGATTTTAATAAAAGTATTAATAATTGGAATATACTTTTTTTTAAATAACTGTCTGTAGTCACTTACCACTCATCAAATTGATGTATTATTTTAATTTGTTAACGGAAAACTCGGTTCTAGGCATAAAAAGGACTAGAGTGGAATGATGTTGAATGGTTTTAGCAAATTTACTGGGTCTGACTCGACAATGTCCATTTAAGACATTTTCGTTTACTTGAAAAGTCAATTTAAAAAATTACAATTATATACATTTCTCAATAGAATTTTAACTGTGATCCTACGTTAACTAACATCGAAATATATGGTCATTGAAAATTTGCTACAATTTTATCAACTAGTAAGCCTATGTTAAAAATCTAACCATCTGAATTTAATATTCTGTATTGATTAGTCTTTCTAAATGGAATAATTCCTCGAAGGCTCCAGTAATACACATTTCTTCAATCTTTTCATTTCTATTTACCCTTTGCCAATAATGTGCGCGTATATGTGCTTCTTTTAAGCAAACACATAGAGGTCGAAATTAATATAAGTAATCTTGTAATATTACTGGCTTATATTTTATATCTGTAATGTATAGACTACAAAGATGCTTAATGAGTGTTGTCACAGGCCTGTTACCACACCCGTTCAGAAATATTGCGGATTTTTAAGACTAATCGCAATAAATACTCTAGAAATTTCTACTTATTTATTTATACTCTTTATTTTAGCTTCTTTGTATCGTTTACGTGGAGATATTATTCACATTAGCCTGTTGGATAATACCGGTGATATTTTACCGAGTCCTTCTGAGCGTTGGGATGATTCATTTATTTTCAAAGGTGGTGCTGCCTCTGAACTTTCGAAACAAGCATCTCTTATATCTTGTTCATCCATATGTTCTGAAGGAACTTCTATGTATACTAATGCTGACGCATATAGTTCAACTGATACTGGTTTCAAGTCTTGTGGTGGTGGTGGTGGCAGTGTTCGAGCATTGAAAGAGTCAGTTATTCGACAAAATACAGTCACCACACATACGTCTTCAACATCAACATCGGGTCACTCTAGTAAGCACACAAATATCGTCTTTTCTATATCTTATAACACTAATTGTTGCATATTTTATATTTGTTTTTCGGACGTATTTCTCATATCAATCTCAGTCGTGGGATAGCATTCCTTTTCAACGTCTATGTTTTATTCCTATTAATAATAATTGACTGACGATGTGAATTTTTGCTAGAACAGTTGACCGGTCTCTTGACAACCATTTTTCATCGTAAGATAAATTTAGACATTTATCTAGTTTGTCTTAATATATCAAATTAAGATTTTAATTTCTAACCGCCTATTTATTAATTTCAAGATAACTCTATAAAACTATAAATCCACATCAGTTGAATGAGTGGTAAGGTTACTAAGTACATTCCCCAAACCTGTCTCACCACATTTATTTAGCCACAATTGTACGCCGATAGTTTACGCATCAAAGATTCCAGTGTTTTCATAATTAATATTGGTTTGGGTGATAGATATTCTAAGCTCCAATCAACTGATTGTTTAGTATAGCTACTATTTTATTATTACGCAAATTGCATTCATTAAAGAATCTGTTTTTTACTTCTCGCAACATCTCTTAAGTTCAAGTGTAGTGTTGATTGGTTATTTTCGGCCTATATTTAGTTGTAAAGGAGTTATATATTATCAGTTTAGAAAATTTGATCTTAATTTATATTAAAACTACTAGTTTTCTGTTGTTCTTTCTCTATGAATTCCAAATCTCATAATTAGCTAGCGTTCACTGACTTCCTGTCAAGTAATTGATAACTATCTGAACCTTGGACAAAGTATGGATAAATGTTCCAACCTAGTTTGTCTATTTTATTGTGTTTGTCATGAGGCATAAAGATTTTGGATTCTATACCATGTAAACCTATAAAACCTGAGGCATCACAAACTAGGACGAAACGGCTTTACAATAACTCCTATGGTTTTTCATGGTTCCGGAATTTTACCCTGAACTGAACTAATTACCACTTATTTTTACAACGAAAATTGAGATTCGTCTCCTGATTGAGACGAAAGTGTCAATCACTATAACGATGCACTCAGGATACTAAAAGGGTACTTTAAAGAAAGTTCACCTTATTTTATGTGTCTACGTGAAGTATGTTTAGCGTGTTGTTGCATAATACTGAAATTCTGCAAGTCATCATTTTTGGTTTGTTTTATACTTTCTTTAGGTACTATACTATCCAATACTATGAGCGGTGGTGTCAGTACATTTCAGTCAAGTGGTACAACTGGACTTGATTCTCCTACAACATCCAAAGGTTTTATCGAGTGTGACCGACAGCTGGTTGTCCTTTGTTCAGAAAAGCAAGCTCGAGTAGTTGCACTTCCTTCACAAAACTGTCTTTATAAGGTAAAACTACTCTTATTTGTTGCAGATAGAATTCCATCATGTTTAGTTTTAAACTAGGTCCACTAACTTCATTCCTTTTGGATACTATTTTAATCTTTTTTTTATACAGGTAAAAATAACTGAAACAAGTCAAGTGGTACGTGCTTCCGTACAACGTTTGAGGCCATCGCATAATAGCGGAACATCAACGGCTAGTTTCCTCGCATGTTATCTTGCAAATGGACATTTTGTTGCCTTCTCATTACCGAGTTTACGTTTACTAATGGATGTGGATTATTTACCGTATACAGAATGTGTAAGCCGTTCGTTTGCATTTGGTCAGTATGGTCAATCTGTGTATTTGGTGTCGCCCTCAGAATTAGCTAAAATCACCTGGGCATCAGATGTTTGGTAATTCCTGTTTTTTTGTATTCATTAATGTTTCTCATCATTATGAATATTTTTGTCATGTTTTATGACATGTGAATTTATGTATGTTTTTAGTCTCTTCAGTTGTGCTTATTTTCACAGCAATTGAATATATATAAATATAAGTGGAAATTCCATAAAACCCAACTAGCTCAACAGTTTATGGTGATTTATAATGAGGTAATAATATTCTGTAACCCAATATAACTGCAAAGCTAACGGTCCTTACTATTCATTTTTGATTTCATGATGTGTATTAAGACTATAATTTTTATCTAGGTTTCTGTCTCTGAGCCCCATTAGTTAAACTTTTGACTTAGATTTCTAACCCGTAAAAAACTACTGATTTCATAGGATGCATCTTATCATTCGTCAGTTCATTCAGAATGGTGGAGTTTAATGTCAACTACTGCTCTAAAATCACGTTTTTCGGCTCATTAATGCGAAACTTCCTTATCCACTTATTGGTTGAGAGACACTATCACTTTTGACATTCTCATTTTAATTTGGAAACCATTTACCTAGAATAAATACATTGGCTGAGTGTTACTAATTGAGTAGACTTGTCAAGTCAGATACCCAAAAGTTTCATATTCTATTGTCAAATTCTTATGATCATATTGTTCGTTTTCAAAAAGTAGTTGTCAGTACAGTTTAATTTTAATTGGCTGCGCACTCCTTACACCCACACATATTTAAAAAGCTGAATGTTATGACTATTGATTTTAATAATTATCATGATTACAAGAAGGTTTTTTTAACACAAAATATATTGCTATTATTAAATGACTCTGAGCAAACCAAGTAACAAGAGGTAGGATTCTTTTTGGCTATGAATTGTTAATGTCAATGGGTTTTTCCAACTGATTATTGCTCAATACTTAACGATACGGTTGGGTTTTTTAAAGCTGCACAATAGAGACGACTTTAAGTTTTGAGTAAATGGTAAAATATTCCCTTTGTCACTATTGATTATCAAATATATTCCTGGCTACATTCAAGTCCTTGGTTTATGGTCCCGAGTGATAAGTGAAACATTAAATTAACGTACTAGTTTCACTTTAAAGGCTACATAATTCCAAATGCTAAAAATATTCTTTTACAAATGTTTCCTTAGAACAGTTTACCGTAAATATTTTTCATATCTTGCTCTATTTTTTGACTTACAGTGCGAATTTACGTGATATGCAAGGTGAGATATTTCTACCAAGTAATATGCCAGAACCTCCCAAGAAAAACTTTTTCAAAAATTTGTTAAGTGGAACTTTGGTATCTTCATTAGATCGAGATGAATTGTGTAAGTTTGACCATATTACTACTTCCTGTCACAATTCTTTTGCTGAGTTCTCATAATTTTATTTCATATACCGTTCATACTATTCTTTTCGTAAACCACTGATAATTATTTAGCCTGCTCTTATTTCAGATTGTTTTCCATAATCAGTCAACTTTCTTTTGTTTACAATGAGTTATTCTACTTTCAGTTTTTGAGTAGTACATCTTTTGGCATAGTGAGACTTCATCGACAATCTCAATGTCTTTTGTCACTAATATTTAGAGTGATCATTTTGTTTCGTATCATATTTACGAACTCATACAATAGGTTTTAGGCCAGATTCGTTCAGTGAAAACTTCGGGTTGCACTGGATATAGAGTGAAGTTAGCAAAACCTAAAATCATAACTTAACTCAAATAAATGATTGTAGTTGCCTTAAAGTGTATTCAAATTATTCAGGTTGTAAATTGAAGATGATTTCTTTATTGAGATGAAGCAAATTTGAGTTACCATTATATATATATATATATATATATATATATATATATATATATATATATATACTGAATGCTTTTAACGAACGTCTTCTGACTAACTTTTGCGAAATTAATGTTGACAAGTTTGCTTATGCGTGCCAAATTGGTAAATAGAAGCCTTGTTTATCTGTAGATTACATTTGATACGATAACTGCATTTATATGTGTATATATGCTACGAAAAAGTTTTAAGTTGGAAAATGAATGATATGTTTATCTCAATTGGGATATGACAGGGAAAACTAGTAAATTATTCTTTCCCTTACTACATTTTGCATTCTTCATTTGCCATTTATTGTGAAATGAGTTATACTATCTGGGTTGAAAGCAGTTTTAATTCCCTAATTTTCTCTAGCGGTTTAGTTTTCTGAAGTGAACCCGGTTAGGGTTTAGGCACTCCAATAATTTTATCAATTGATCGCACCGTTGTAACACTATCATTTCCCAAGTTTTTGCATCAAACAAGGGTTTCGCCTATCACTTAAAATTAAATGGGTCATTTTAAATTTTGTCTGACATTTCAGTCAGTTCCTCATTCTTGGAACACTTCCGTCAGCCTTTAAGCAGTAGTAATAAAATGTTTACGTAGTCAGGACTAATTAAAGATTTGTGTGTGCCAATATTCTCATCTTCAATTTGATTTTATAACTAAGAGTTAACCATTTCGATCGTGGTAAGAGTATCAGATTGAATAGTTGAAAGAGTTAATGAATCAACTCAGACTACCTTCGATTGTTATATTTTTTGGCTCAGTAAAATTGTTATTTGCACACTTAAAGTGACATTTACCATATGTCATTTAACTAAAAAAGGTCGCGTGCAAGCCTAGTAAAAGTATATAATCGGATAACTATCGTAAGAAATATTTAGACAAGCAATTTGTCTTCGGTAGGAAGAAAATGCTTTTATCAGTACTGTTCATTTTGTGGCAGCTGTTACCAGTCATAGAAAGTGCAAAATCAAGCTTGAACTAATTTGTGCATATATAAATATTCTGGAGTAAATCAGATTATAATAGTAGATATAGTGGCTATGCTCGAGATGAAAGTGGTTTCAGTTAAGTTGTCAGTAAGTCTGCAAGTTGGAAATAATCAACAACTGTATGTTTAGTAGAATTTCGAACACCGAGTGGTAATAAAAAAGATTAGGCACCGAAGATACGACTCGAAAAGAAAATACAAATAAATGGAATAAGACACACAAAGATTTATGAGCAATTTAGAATCTCAGGATTTGAGGAATGACAAGGAATGGATACACCTGCGCCATTGCAAACGATTTTGAACCATGTCATTTAAAGTTTCTAACCATTGGTTACGATAATCACGCAAAAGATTAGTTATGAGGATAGAAGAACGATTAAGAGATGAAAGAGGGATTCAACCATCAACAAGATAGTGCCGGGTGTTTGTAGCGATAGGAGGGCGGTTGTTACTACTTGGATTTTTCTTCGTGATGGACCCCAAAAAGCTGAATTTCTGGTGGTCTTAGCGACCTGGAAACGTGACCGCAAAGCAAAAAGTAAAACTGCTTGAGGCCGGTAGCGCACAGCCTTTTTATGGGAAGCTTTTGATGAGTTGGATTCGCACTTTCAAAGGCCTTACTGTCGAGGACGGAAATCTTTGGGGTAAGGTGTGACATTTATAGAGTCGACCCTTTCTAACCTGTTGCTTTCGTTACGAGAAGAGAGCATCGCTAAAGATGCTGGTTGCCTGAGTGAAACACCTTACTACTGTTACACTCCACTCCAGTCAGCAGTACAACTTCGCCCTGTGGCCCTAAGTTTCTGCTTCTAGTCTTACCGTCGTGTACGCAAGATACTCAATTCCAGTCGGCCAGAAACCATCAGCAACAACCTACTGTGGGAGAGAATAAACTAGGTTCCGGCTGAGGAAATTGGGAAAAGACACTGGAAGTGGAAATCACCAAACTGCATCACAAGGCAAGCGCCAACTCGGAATGTTGAAGGGAACCGGTAAAGAGGGAGGTCGAAGAACACACTACGTCGGGAACCGGAAGCAGACATGAGAAAAATGAATAGCAACTGAGAAGGATTGTCCAGGACGGAGTTAGATGAAGAATGCTGGTGAGCGGCCTATGCTCCTTGACGAGGGGTAACAGGTACAAGTAAGTAAGCTCCCCAACCGACCTACCTGGAATAGTAGGGCCTAAAGGAATATTTATTCCAAGCAATATATTCTAGTTGAGTTATCGCAATAGGTATGCCATCAAATCAAGGTAGCAGCTGCGGTCGGGCGGTTACTTATTAATGATGTTCAAACTCGGTGTTCACTGAGCACACAACAAAGATAAGCAACGAAACATTATCTAGGTTTGTTGGCTGTAAATTACGATTACTAATCGCCTTTACTGTTCTCTTAATCATCGTTGTTATGTAATTATTGAAACATATTTTAACTTTTTTTAATATGTTGGAGCATGGTAAACATAAGCCATGCAAATTCCGTATGCAGCCGCACTTTGTCAAGCTGCACTTTACTTAGACTATTATCTTCGAACCAAAGTTCTCATTTTCATTGATAGTCATTGTAATGAGATATTATAATGCTCAGCACAGTAGTCACAAATCAACACCAGTGGATTTAGGTGGTTTATATCGTGTAACAAATACACAGAAATTCTCATTCTCTAGTTTGTTCTTGCTTTAGTTGGTGAAGCAAGTTCGGGGAAGGGGACACCTGGCGCTACTACTCTGCTACCAAATGCTCGTTTGGAAAAGTTATCTGGTCAAACTGGTGCTGCCTCTTCTGAAATTGCACGAGCTAGAAATGCTGCTATCGAACGTGGTGAGCGGTTACAGCAATTAGACCTACAAACGCAAGAGATGGCTGATCAAGCTAAAGGTTTTGGTCGTTCTGCTGCTATTCTCGCTGCCAAATACGAGAAAAAGGACAAACGCTGGGGTTTGCCATTCTAAAGAAGACTATTATTGCAGCAATTGACCCTTCCTTATTTCCCTATTTGATTGCTCTCAGGTAACTTTGTTGACTTAGTATTCCGGGGCCTACAAGATTTCGTAACTGTGTTCTATCTCACTTTAACCTATGTGCTAAAAACAATGATGAACGATATTCTACTTTCATATTGAGGACGAGTGAACATTATGTTTATATTTTCGTTCTTCGGTTTTCCTCCTTAATATATATATCTGACGTAATAACATGTACGATGTAGGGACTTACGTTTCTGTATGCTTGTGACTAATCGTCACTGTAACCGTTGTTTTTGTATTGACTGTCGATTTTGAACTTCTTATTGTATTTTCTGTTGCGTTATCAAGATGTTTATATTTGAGTTATTATTTTCTAGCATCATACGGAGTTCTTGTTTGTGATGTCTTACACAATTCGTGTTGTTGGTCACCACTCTATATCCATCAGATATACATCATAAATATTCACTTGTTCAAAGGAACATAATTCCTCCTCTTGGTTAATTTACATTAACAACTGTGATTGCTATTTTTGTTGTACTGTTGGATCATATGACAATTTTGTCTCACCACTCACTTTATATATATATACCTTCTAGTCTTCATTAGCTGAATCTTAATTATTTCATAAGCTTGTAAAAGCGTCGAACGCATTATTTCAAAATCGATCGCTCTCTTCAGAAGCTCTGTCACATTCATCCCTAAATTTATTGGGTCATTTTACTCATTCATTATTTTTCATTTCGTATGTTCTATTTATATCATTAAAACTTAGAAACAAAATAACAAATTTTGTCCATCGTTTTCTTTCTTGATAGTTTCACTTAAGTTAGACAATCCAGTATACGTAAAATAAAGAAAACTCCTGATTATTAATCAATAACTGATAAGTAATCATCGTGCTTTTGTACAGTGAAGATTTATGAAATTCATTTTCCCATACGAAGGCACATTAACTTAAGGTAGTAATTTTTGTACTGTCTGTTTATGAGACTAAAAAATTGATGAATGAGTTACGCTCACTCAATCATATCTATGATTTGATTGGTTGTATTCAAGCTGAACCCAACTCAAATACATTTAAAACATGGTCAAACATCATTTATAAATATGATTACTACCGGCAGTGCATTTAGCTAAGCAGCAATGATCAGTTTAAAACCAACCCTACTTGTCGTTATGATTATTTCCACCATACAGATTAGTGAAACAGCTGTGGCATCCAATCCTCGTACATTCAATTCAAATTCATGGAGAGGCAATACGTATCTCGTATCCTATCCAGTCTCAGAACGTTCACCATATGCGATGGCACGGCAGGACCAGCAAACGAATTTCCCGGGTCCTAAAACAAAATACATCAACCGTTACTCCACTTTTCAGTCTGATGTACCGTCCTATCCACTATTTGTGCAACCAACCATGAATTCTGATCCCAAACAACCAACATATTTAGTTGAACAACAACCTGTACAAAGTCACACAGCTATCACGTATCCTAGTGAACAACAAATCCAACCAACTGCAACAAACACTGTTTCTGATGACGAAATGGAAATCACGCCTAGGACAATTGCTCAGAACCCACAGTACTCAGACTCTTCTATTGTTGGTGGCCCGGATGATGGAGTTATCGGGAGTAATGGCGGTATTCTCGGGAGTCCGCAAGATGTCGCAGTAGTTGAAAGTGCAGGTCAATCACTTTATTCCGGTGATATGAGACAAAACCAATATTTGTATCCTAGTCCAGTACCACCAGATCCAAGACTTTATAGTTCGCCCATGAATCCGCCTCGGTATCAATTAGATAAACGTATCAATACTGCATACTATGGGATAGGTCAATATGAACAGCCGTTGTACAGTCAAGTACCTAGAGGAACTATGCCCTCATCACAGTATACAAATGGAATTACAAGCGCTAGTATGTAAGTTCTTAAACTCCATAATATAGTTTGATTTAAAAGTCTTTGATTACTTCATTTATGGTTGGGGCAGAAGACAATTTAATTGCTTATTAAATGAGTATGTGCATAGCGGAAATAAAATCAATAACTAGGTAGTATAAAGTAAATTTTACGTGGTTCGAAAACATTACGAAATTTCATACACTTCAAAAGTGAATTCTGAGAAGTTTTAAGATGAACTAAGTTCTACAAGTATTTGCAAGATTTTGAGTGAAATTTTAATAAAATGCGTAGTTTGGGGAAAATGTATTTACAGTAAGTGTGCAAACATAACGATAGTTAGGTGAAAGACTGTTTAGAGAGTTGAAAAGTAAAGTTTATTGAGTTAATGTCCAACTGATACAACCACAATTTCATCTTCTGTAGTTAGATGAATGCGCCAATCGGAAGGTTTTAATGTGCAACCATTAGAGTCATGCAACATATGCAACAGACGGTTTTGTTCTTCAGTAAGATTATCTCTGAAAATTAAGAAACAAAATCGAATGACTGTCTATATTCACTGCGAAATGGCTTTGTATGTTCATCTTTAAAATAAAAAGCTAACGGGGAAAAAATATTGGCAAAATCTAAGTCTTTAAAGCTAATCCAGAAAACTGTTTCTAAAATACTAACCTTAAGAAATGCGGTATACTGTACATGAATATGCTTTTCGTTCTCAAGTTAAAAGTTTACACTTGCGTAAATACTAAGTTTTACTGAAATAAAGCGGTACTACTAATCTACATAGTGCATAGAAATATTTCTGAGTGTATGAAATATCCGACTCTAACAGAACATTCTGAAAAGCTAAATGGAATGAACATTTAAGCATTATAAACATTAAATAACAAAGTCACAAAAAGAATAAAGCGGTTTAGTGGAAGAGAGACAAAAACCTGCTTCCGTATTACAATCAACATGTGACAGATTTAACTGTGATTTCTATTTCAGGTGTTAAGAAACTACTTCGTCCAAATACGAAGAATTGATATCCCTAATTCATTAGAACATTGGTTTTATAAGATATGCTGCTTTAGTTAAATCAGGCCTAACGAAATAGAAAAATTGTCCGACATTGTCAACACATATACACAATGATTTATTTATATATTCAAACCATTGGGAAATAATTGGGGTTGCAATAGGATGACTCTTCATGTTTTTCTTAAATAATGTAATTAGTAATGAATATGTATATAAGAAACAACCATTTAGCTTGAATTTAAACGTTAAAATGACAACGTACCAAGTCTAATGCTCCTTATTTTCCTTTAAAAGATCGATAATTAATTTCTACGTATTTCAACATACTGTGCGAAAGGAGGCGTACCGCAGCTTTGCATTTCAGTATCAACCTCGTATAAGTAATTTACAAACGCAGGAAGTATGACTTCTTCATTACAAGTGGTTGCGATGTTTTGACCGAGTATTCGGAATATCACGAGTCAGTAATAATTAATGTAAAGCCCGGCACAAACGTGGATTACCATAGCGCATTAACATGAGTCAGTGAATAACAAACGAATCGAGAAAATGAAGGAGCGAAGAAAAGCCGAAAACTGAAACTACGATTCAAAAAGGTATAGCTCAAGAAATATAGGACATGAAGGACTGAGCAGAATAAGATAAAGTCCGAATGAATTTGCAGTATTGTAAACGATTCTAAACAGTCACCTAACTTCTCTAACAATAGTTGCAGTTTCCGTACGGTAACCACCTATGAAGCCTGGATCAGTCCTAGTTTATTAGGCGAGTCCTAGTTAACCGTCAGATTATTAAAGCCAATATTCTAGACACTATATTAATCAAACTGATTCCTCTATGATTATCACAAGAAGATTTGTACTTCCTTATACAGTGAACAATGATTAGCGATCGAGACCATTTAGATAGGATTACGTCCAGTTCCCAGGCTCTGGCTAAAATCACAGCCAACTTCTAAAGTTGAACTACTACACCTAATGATCTCCGGGATTAACTCATTAGGACCTCCTGCTTCCCCTTTTTCAAGCTTTACAAGGCCTTTTCAACACTGCTATAAGAAATCAAAGGGCGAGCTTAAAACAATTGGGATTGATAAGTCTACTACTATAATCTTGCAGTGAACAATCTTAATTTTTCCTTATAATTTCCAACCTTTTGAGCACTACATTTTTATTTTTGCTGATGGTTTTACGTGATGTATGGATCTCATTCAAAAACTTAAACGGCATTTTCTTGATTTATGCTGACCTACCTTTTCACTCTGAATTCTTTTTTTCACAAGATTGCTGTAAAATATAACCGAATTGGAATAAACACAGAATGTGTTACGTACTCTACTGTAGCCCAATTAATGTTTTTATCTGACATACTTAGCAGCTAGATAATAACAGACATAGAGATAACATGTTTAAGGTACACTTCCTTTCTTATGAAGTATGAGATTTCTTTAAAAGGACAACGTGAAATGTAATTTTCGGCATTCCTACCACATTCCTGGAAACATGAGCAACATAATTTAAGAGAAATTTAACTTAGTAAAAAAACTGAGTTCAGTTTTGCGTGTATGACCTAGGTTAATGAAATAATTGCAGAGAAACTATATTTTTTTAATCAAGCGCTTATCATGTACACCTACATTACCTTGCATCACGTTTACGTTGACGAGCTTTAACAAGACGCTTATTTAGTGCCTGCCTTTGTAAGCGAAGGTCAGCCAGACGTTCTGCTAATTCATCACGAGCAGCAACCTTAGAACGGCGACATCGTTCGGCTGCTTGACGGTTAGTAGCTCGTCTACGTGCATCCGACATAGCTGTTAGCTGAATGTAGAAAAGAAACAAGTGAACGTTAGATTAGGAAAATACGTATATGTTCTAGGATTCATGGGAGTACACCTGTTAAATCTAAGAGTCCGGAATACTATTTGCTTTTTAAAATAGAATATTAATTATTATTTATTTTAACACATAGCTATTGGTACATGGAGGCACCAAATACATATGCGCCACACAAATCTCATTTGATAGGTGTGAGAGCTGTGATACTGCCCTG